CACACACACACACACACACACACACACACACACACACACAGTCCTTAAAAGATGAACAAAATAAAAATCTTGCTCTTCGAATGAAGATCGTCTTCCTCCTGCAGTTGACATATTTCCTGTTCCTCAGTCTTTCTTTGAGCGCACACAGTCAGTGCATCAAGCTGCTTTAAGGATATTCTCTGTAACATGTGGGACTGCAGCACTTTCCTTAGAAGAAGTGAAGTTAAAGCTGAAACGCTCGGCTCAGGGTTCCAAGACTTAACTAACCCGTGTGTGATGTCACTGTAGCCGCGTCCATCTTTTATCTTCACTGTATGCGACTGAGGGACAGGGGGATAAAACGGTCGGTCATTCTTCGGCTCGGAGAGAAGCAGAAGTTTGGACATCTTACTGAACTAGATAAAGGCAAACGGCAGCACCGCGGCAGCTGCGATGGTCTTATACCCGTCTAATGTTGCTTTGCTTTTACTTGGCTGTAGTAAAAAGGTAAAAACTGCAGCAGGAATAAAATGCAAACATAAAAACGTGTCTAATGTCAGCTGAGCCGAGCGGGCCGTTCTCCTTTTAGCAGCCTCGCACCGACTTTGCATCCAGCAGCAGATTACAGCAGGAAGCTGGCGGAGCTCGGACGGCGTGATGGGTTTGTCTGATCGGATAAGCAGCGTGACAAAGCTCGCGTTGTGCAGCTGAGCAACTGTAGGCCACGAGCTGCTGTGGAAAATACCTGAGTAATACCTGTAATTACATCGACACACTCAGCAGGTGGGTAAGGATGAGAGCTGCAGGCACCAGCAGAGACCTCATTGATGCTTCTTTTTTTAAACTGCTGAAAAAGATCATTATTTACTAGATTGTGATGCTTTTCATCAGTCAGGCCTACCGTCCATAGGAGCAGAGCCACGGGGCGGCCACGGCCAGCCCTATAGCCACTCGCAAAGAGACAGGACCATTTAGGAGATGCAAATGTTTGATGAGCGCATCGTCTCTCCACGCACGCTCACAAACGGCCGTGCGCTCGTCAGCCTTGATAGCAACAACCTGGAGTGCTAGAATAAAACTGTCGCCCTGCAGATGAGCCTGATACAAGCTGCTTATTTCATTTACCTGTCAGTTATAATCTCTCGCAGGGCTTTATTTATAAGTCCAAATATTTTTATTTGGACTTATAATATATATATATATTGTATATCCTATATATATCCTGACTCTTAGTGGGGTTTGAAACATAGATGACTACAGCAGCACTGAGGCGTGAGCAGCTCCAGCAGCAGAATTTAGTGTTTCATCTTGAAAAAGGGCTTAAAATGTGTTTGGAAAGTTTCAAAGCAGAAATTTAGTGTGAATTCTGCTGTCGCTTACTCATCCGCAGCTCAGACGGAGCACCATGGGTTTTTTTAGCTGTTTTTGTTTTATTCATGTTGCACTGAGTCTGTAAATCTTGGGACTCGTCTTCCTTAAAGGGATTAAAACACAAAATTTAAATGGTTAAATTCTTGTAGACGACTCGGACTGTTTAAGTCTCAAGGAAAAGACTACAAGTCCCTGTGATGTGCTTCAAAGTGTGTGTGTGTGTGTTGCTGTAATATAGCCGTGAAGCTGGTGGACAGTTTGTGCTGTAAAATTCTGGTGATTTTAACGACTTTGTGTCACGCAGCTGCACGGTGCTCGTAAAACTCTGGGACAAATTTATATTGAGTTAACTTTGCAGACAGCTGCTGATTGTACGGAGCTAGTTAAGGCTTTTTTTGGACTCGTTGTTTAGGTCATAGTTCCTGTACACAGGTATGTATACATCATGGCACACACTGCAGTCACCTTAAAGCCTCTCCTATTATCTGTGCTGAGCTTTAAGGTCTTTGTTCCCTGCATCTAATCTTAAAGGCAGCGCCAGTGAAGTCTGGGGAAACACGCTGTCCAAAGGACGAAGTCGGGATTGATCCTTTCTGAACACCGTACTCCATTTTCCTGTAGATTTCTACGTAGTCAGCTCAACATTCATAGTTTGCAAAACATACTTGAGTGGAAATATTTTCATACTCGTTCTTTAACCTTAGTCACCTGTTTCAGGTGTGTCGCCTTCATTCATTCACTCGCACACTCCTTCTCTATGTTTTCACCTCTGCCCTGCTCTGCTTCTTGTTTCATTAAATTGATCCTGTTTTGTCTTTTACATTCAAAGTAACTCTAATTTTGCAACACACAGTGTTGTTTTGGGAGGATTAAGTGTTGCTTCAGGTATGTAGCAGGTAAGAGGGCGGAGTCCCGCAGGCTGACAGGCTTCTAATTCCATTGCTGATTGTGGAATGAAGGGTGAGGTCACCCCCTCTGCTACACCTACTACAAACTTTATCACTTCAATATTGGATCAAATAAAAGTAACTTGATTCCTGGGAAGCGCCGAGCCTGTAGCTGTAAAACTGATTAGCTTGTTTGAGAACCAAATATCAACACAGATTACCGGATATTATGCAGAGAATATCTGAATCTGCTAATCTCAAAGAATATATAACATTTGCAGTAAATCGTTTAAAGCTAAAACGAGACCGTGATGTCCTAAGCATCAACAGAAACCAGTATATTTCAAAGGGCAAGTAAGGCAACCAGTAAAGAGCAACACAATAGAGATCCACAGCAACCGGCAAAAAAACTATGCAAATATTACCAAAAAGACCCCAACACAGCAATCTCAGAGGCAACCACCCAACAACGGCCAATCAGACAACAGAAACACACTAGCTCCAGTCTACTTTATGGTCCTCAGAAGTAGTATTTGTTTATGAAGCTATAAATGGGGGTAAAGTCCTGTGAAGCACGTTCAGGCTGAATGCTTTCAGTATAGACATTTATCACCTGAACAGCTAACAGGTGCACTGTCACAAAGGCTTTAAGTGCTCCAGGAAGCAGCAGGTAACTGGAAACAGTTCATCTTAAACGGCTGAGCATCCTAACGCGATCTCATTTACAGTTCTATGACTTGTTTGTTAATTAAACCACAACTTTAATGATCTGAACTGGAAGACAGTAAAATTACCATTTATGTGCATCGGGTGTTTAGATAATGAAGGCGTGCTCTGAGCTGTTCTTCTTCAGAACTAATCAGGAATTCAGATGAATCATATCAAACATAGCTGAGCACTGAGTGGTTTAGTGCTGAGGAACGCCGTCCTGCGGGTTCCTCTGAGGTTGTCTTGCTTTGTTCTCACACAGTCAAGTCTGTAATGGCTTGATTACAATCAGAAAAGAATCGGTTTCGTAAATCTGTAAATTTCATTTTAAGTTTCCATGAGTATTAAAGTTCTTTGTGTTGCTTTGAAGATGCCAGTGAATCAACTATGAATTACACCTGCTCTGATATCATTGAGATGCTGTCCGGTTCACATTTGTGCAAATCAGAATCAAATCTGCCAACTGGCCTGAGATCAGATATTACAGGGACAAAATTAGCTGGCACTTTGTTCTTCAACCCAAACACTCTGCTGTCATTTAAATACACAATACAAAGTCTAGTAATGTATTACAGGTTCTGTTTATGGAGATGAAACAGATGCAGACTCTGTGTCATTAACTTGTGTCTGTAGAAGTACGAGGTGTCCTTGAAAACAAGTCCTTCTGCAGGGTTTAAATGTGCACGAATGCTAGTTTGGCTAAAGTAGCAAATATGCGATTAGCTAAATGGCTAACAACAAAACAAAGGCCCCTGCTGTTAGCAGCTCAGACCGGTCAGAGTGTATGTTAGTAATGCTGACTCTAACATGAGTATTATTGTTAAACAATATGCTGTCTAAAGCTTGTTTAAACAAACATGTATCATGATGGTTGGTGTTGATGAGGGTGTGCTGGTGCTCGGCTAACGCACCATCCATCCACCCACTCACCCTGCTTTGTGTATCTGTAAACAGCTGGTACATTTTGTGACTTGTTAATGAAAAGGTGTCGAACATCTTAATCTTTTAGTTGTGGAAACTTTGTAATGTGGCTAAAACTCAGACGTCTGTGTGGTCGTCTAACGCTGAACCTTTGTCTCGCCTGCACATAAATGCAGTAAAGTGTCTGCTGCTCAGTTAGACGCCTTCGGTGTTCGTGCACCTCGCGTCCACCTCTCGCCAGCTGATAAACTGATGAGTCATTGCACTGACTCATCATCATCCAGGAAATAGTTAACACTCACTGCAGGGCTGTTTATCAGCTGGAGGTGGAGGGAGATAATTTACACAGACACAGCTGAGAGGTACCGAGTCTCAGCCTCAGTTTGTGTTTCATAATTTTGAGATTTCATGCACATGATGGCAGAAAAACCTGTCACACATGACAAACATCAAGCCTCGATCTATTCAGGCCCTTATCCAGAACTGCTTTCACGTTCTGATTTTTATCTGCGTGAACTCATTGTACTTGAAATGCCACCTGGTAATCGGCAGCTGCACCGAGTGTGATTTGATCTTTTACATAACTGATGCATCAAATACTGCTAAATGCTGCGGAGCGAGGTTCAAATCAGAACTTTGACAAATCCATCTCAGCTGCTGCCGTCCAGCACCTGCAGAGAGGCGACTGCACCTGAAATTCACTTTGGCCTTTCTGTCTTTAAACACATATAGTTCAATAATTATTGTTATATACTTATTACTTAAACACACATTAATGCATTTATAGTAAGTTCCCTTTGAGTACCAGTCAGTGCCTCTGTCAGTGCGATTGCCATCACCAGTGTGTGAATGTGTGTGTGAATGTGTGGATGACTGAATGCAGTGTAAAGCAGTTTGGGGTCCATAGAGACTAAGTAAAGCGCTATACAAATACAGGCCATTTACCAGATCAGCAGAAAAATAGTTCAAGTCCAAAAGTTCATAAAGGTCTCAGGAAAAAAATCCAAAACTTGAGTTAAGTTGCATTCGGCAGATCTTCCATTCAGGGTCATCTTCTCAGGCACATCTGGATTTTTCAGCTTGGTTGCTATTTTTCGATCCCTCAGAGGAGGACAGGTTATGTCCCTTTGTTCTCGTGCTTCTGCGATGGCTGCCGGTCAAAATGCCGATCGCTCGACCTGATTTTCATTCATCGGATGTGAAGGAAGTTTATGGGGAAGACTGTGTCACCAGAAAATGTTATGCTCTCCCTCAGACCTCTGGTTCTGTTTCAATAGCTCATCCATCTCACACCTTGTACTCTGTTATGTATGCTTAAATCCAAAAAACAGAGGAGGCAGATGTCTGACTCTAACCTTTGACCTCTTCTCTCCAGTTTCACCTGGTTGTCGGCTCAGGTGCACAGCAACATGGTGATGCATTTCTCGGGGCGCATCGCCGACAGCTTTGACCGAGAGTTTCGCTGTTTGTACGCCGACTCTCAGATCATCGACTGTTTCTACAACCCGGAGGAGGACGGGATGCCGTACTACCCACCGTACCCTCCCATGATTGCCCCTGGCCTGGCTCTGGGGCTCAGCCCAGGCCACGGGCTGGATCTACTGTCTGAAAGGTAAGAAGGTATTCGCTGTAAGGGGAGACGCTTTCATTCTGATTACTGTCAAGGTTTTAGTTTTTTCCAAGTTTCATCAGAAGCTTTTTTCCTGAGTTAATTATGTGAATGACAGCTGCAGCAAAAACTCTTTGAAACTTGATTTAGGTGACATCATGATGGAAATATAATCTCTCTATGAAATCAACAGAACTTCAGTGTGCCACTTTTAACTTTTCTTCTTCCACAGGCAGCGGGACAGGGGGTGCTCCGAAAACTCTAGCAGCCAATCGAGTAACAGCATCTCCAGTGTGAAGGCTGCACCTGGAATGTCCTCAAACACGGTCTACAAGGTCACGCAAAGTCATGATAAGGAGGCTGCAGCTGGTTCCCACCTGAGCCCTGAAAGAAGAGGACTGAGCGACCGATCGGGAGGACAGACCCCTACAGCAGGAGGGCGAAGCTCTGCTAACGGGGGAATCAATTTCGCCCCAATTCCCGATCGCCCCCCACCGGCCTACGGTCAAGCGATGGGTATCGAGTGGAACAAACCCAACACAGCAGATGTCTTGCGGGGAAATATTGGTGGAACCTCTACCAAGTTTCAGGGTTTGGGGCTGTACGATCACAAACAAGATCTCTTCCCCTCCTCGATACCCTCCCCAGTCAATGACACCAAACCGCCGCCTAAGCAGAGGCTCCCCAGCGGGATGTTCAACAAGCTTTCAGATTACTTCCTGTCATCCAACTCTAAAGACAGGGACGCCTACAACTTCCGGAGGACTCCGTCTCCTCACGGCTCACCCTGGGGAGGACCGGACCTTTCTCCAACTGAGCCGGAGAGTCAGCAGAGTCCACCGCCGCCGCTTTCTCCAGTCGGTATAATAAGCCGGAAGGACCAGAAACGAATGACGCTGGGCCACAGCAAGCTGGACCTGGTGAACCAATACAACAAGATGAAGCCCAAGCAAGTGTACAGCCGCTTTGAGCTCAAGGGCACGAATTAGACTGGAAGGCCAACCATCAGAGAGGTTGTGACTCCGGAACATTCCTCTGGTATCTTATATTACAAAGAAAAGACTCTGAGATCTTGGAAATTGCTCAAGTTTGGTCTTCAGACCTCAGCCCTACAGGAAACTAAGACTCTTGAGGAGCCATTTTGGCTCCGCGTGGTTTCCCGTTTATCAAACGAGAGGTTTTTGGGTTTTTTTGAGGTCATAGTTTACCAAACAAATCACACTTTTATTAAATCTGCACATCATGATTCAACTACAGTCACTACCTGAGTAAATATGTTCTCATAGGTGAAATAGGTTTCAAAGATAAGCCACTGACTGTTTGCTGACACGTGAAAACCATCGAAATGTGAATTTTTGCCTTCAACACTCCAGAGGCTTTCATGTGGGCATTTCTTTACATTTTTATACTCGGCGACATTCCTGAGCAACAATTTGAATTCTTCCTTTGGGTAAACTTAGGATTCTGCAGTTATTGTGCTTTTTTTAAGATTATGATAATATTTGTAATAACAGGGCTGAAGAATTGTTTCCTCCACAGAGATTTTTCTCGCATTTAGTGAACGTTTATGCTACAGTCAGAATGGAAACTAACGTTTATCTGACTGGATCCCAGCCTGGGGCTCAGCTCTCAATATGGTGACGGTTTAAAAAAAGATCATTGACACTAATACTGCTGAAATTCTGCAGATTAATACGATCACGTTGTTGGGTTTCACGTTGTGACGCGACTTCCACAGTTCTTATTGGAGAAGTTTGAATCTGGGGTTATTTTTTGTTTAAATTCTTTTTGTTCTCATTAAGTAAATGAAGGGATCAGTGAGTCACCCACCAAACAAAGACTTTTGTTCTGACAGTCGACTGTTTCTGAGTCATGCCATGTGCTACCACTAAGTAAAACATAAGATTTTTTATTATGGGAAAAAGTTCAGATGTAAAAATTAAAATCTCTCAAAATATTCAGTTTGCACTGTTAAAGCGATGACAATGAGAATCTTTAAGAAGATTAAAGATAACATATCATTATTGTTTAATCGTGACTATAAGTGAAACAATCATTCAATCAAAATAATGATGATTAATCAATTTGAACTCTACAGTTTATTCCAACAAGCCAAACCTGGAAATACGCAGCCTGACAGAAATCTCACATCCAGTCACAAACAGTAAAGTGAAGTTTAGTAACCTTTGCTCCTGGGAGTACGACAACACGTGCCTTGATCATCCTGCCTTAAGGTTTGCAGTCACATTTGCGACAGCCTGTCTCCAGCGGCCTCGGTTAGTCTCGGTCACAGTTTTACTTTCGTTGTTCGGCACAGGGAGCGATCTGTGCTGTGAATAGTAGAAGCAACGCCAGGATGTTTCGTGGTGCTCGTCATGTTCTGGGAAAGTCGGGTCGTAGGGTCGTAGGGCATTTTGTTTACGTCGGATGAGACGATCTGTGTCGAGAATCTACATTTATGTTCCTCAGCTTTCCTCGTAACGGAGGCTCGTTCCTCCCGCTGCACAGTTTTACAGCAAGCTTGTAGATTTGTATATAAATGATTAAATATTATGCTCTTCATCACTCTGCACCGCAGTGATTCCTCCTCAGTGGAGCAGCAGATGAGGACGTAAAATCACTCTAAGCAATAAGGATTGATACCAATCAATAGTTCTGATGTGTGTCTTTTGTTTACTGCTCATTCAGTGGGCGCCTTCTGTTTTTATTTGCCCCCAAATCAGCTGGACATTTGATTTATTTGTATATGTTTTCCCATGTAATGTACATTATACTGTATATACATGAAGTTGGGTCATTGTTAAGAAAAACACTCTTCGACTTTATTTTTACAGATTACTGGAGAATGTGAACTTGAAGTTAATTTTGTGTGTTTAAGTTGTTTTTAATTTGTAAGATGAACAAAATTTAATAAAAACATGAAGGTAAAGTTGAGTTCAGTGTTCGTTTTTCCATAAAACCGAGTAAAATGATTCCTGCCTGTATTTCATTTAAGAATGTTTTGTGGAAACATCACTACAATACAGGAGAAACAGCAGGAGCAATGACAGCCAACTTATTAACTAATGTTGGTTAAAGAACAAACATTTTGACTAAATATGCATCAATTCAATTTCCCTTGATTGTCTGAACTTTCCTTCAGACCTGAAGATTATTTGTCCAAATGTGATGGTGAGACCCTGGAGGGTGCTTGGAAAAGCATCGTTATACTTCCTTCCTGATGTCATGTTTCACAAAGAATCAGTCATTTCGGGGTTGCAGGGATGTTGCCAGTCACGTCAGCTAAGCCGATGAGCTCATACGTGCATTGTCCAACTGGTTGCTGAAGGTTGCTGAAGTTGGTGTCTTCCACGCAATTTACGGGCAATCGGCACTGGCAACCAAAGTAACTGCAACAAGGTTTTTGGTGCAGCAACCTCCAGCAACCACTCACCAGCTGAATAATAAACACATTTCCCTAGCAACCAGTGGTTACCATGGAGTCACTGACTGGTCTCTAGGCCTGTGTGATTGAGGCATAAACTGCTTACCTGCTGCTGCCTCTGCAAGCTGCTTGTCAACCATACCTCCACCCATACTCCTCCTTTCATACTGTTCATGTTACTTCTGATTTAATCAGTGTCACGTCTGTTGTTATTATCCATGCTCTGTTCTTTGAGTGGCGAAGGGTGTCATGAAAAATATTCTCCAGCAGCCCTTTGAGTGCAGACAAAGAGTAAACAATGTCCTCAGACGATGGAGTTGGAATGATGTTCCTGTACTTCCACAGGACTTCACCTTCAGCTCCCTAAAGATTGACTTTCTTGTGCACCATCGCTAAAACAAAAAATGAAATTATTCCGAGTATTCCTAAAAAATTGACAGCTTTTGAATGCTCCTTCTGTCGTAACTACAAACTATGAGTGGGTGACACCAGGAGCAGGTCAGTGGAGGGAGAACGTTGCAGCCATGTTTAAATCTGTGTCCAGACATAGGCTTGGTGTTTCCCACTGGGCCTCAGCACTGAAGGTTTTCCTGTCAGGAAGTCCAGACGGGGCTCTGGGTCACAGGACGCAGCACGAACAATGTAAGTTAATAAAGCTTGCAGAGATATGTGAACAATGGATCATCCAAGAAATCTCTCCCAAAAGTCCCTAAACTGGAACACAAATCCATAATTCACGAGACAAACACGAGACTAAAATATCTCTTTGTGTGCAGGAAACGAGCGCACGAGCCGCCGGGGTGCTGTAAAGCTAAACTAACATAAAGACAGTTTCATTTGTCACGCAGTCAAAGTTTGGGAGCATTAATGTAAAGGTGGAGATGTGAGCCGCTTCACACGCAGCTCTGGTTGTTACAGTCACAGGTGTACTCATGCTGGTTTGTTAGGGTTACTGCGTGCCTGCTCACAGCCCAGACTTTGTTTTTTGTAACTGTCAGCTACACTTGATGAACCCGTGGGGTTAAAAACCTGCTCCGCAGCTCTCCTGCCAGCAGTGAAGTTTCTGTTTGGGCTTGTGTTCAGCTTTGTGTTAATACACAAACACTGTATGTGCGTTTTTATTATCAAAGGGATTTATGTGAGTGTGCAGGACTGTAACCTAAGGTTTATATTATTAACAGGTCAGAGTAACGCAAAAATAATGTAACAAGTAACAAATTACTTAATTACTCCCTGGAGAAAGTAACAGTAATTAGTTTTAAAAAGTAATTTATTTTTGAGTAAGAACCCCAAACACTGATAGAAAGCTGCTTTGATCCCTATAAATAATTTTCTCCTTCATAACAACTGAATGTTTGAACTCACCTGTTTAAATTGTATTCAGGCTTAAAGGTTGTGGCTGGGGGCGTGGTCTCTTTGACTGACAGGTGGCTGCAGCTGTTAGCTGTGTGCTAGGCCTCCCCTCAGCTAACTGGAGCCCCGTGTTTGTGCTGCTGGAACATTTTTGATGACATTAGCTGATCAATGACTTGGCTGCTGTACGAACAGAGCTCAGGTCCAGTGTTGGTGAGTGAAACTGGGATTTTATTTGGATGTCGCTGAGCTCCTTAGCAGGTGTGTGTTTGATGCACCTGTGCATAGTTAGTAGTTGGTTTCAGCTTTGCAAAACACTGCGAGGAGAAGTTTGGCTGACAGTGTGGATGACTCAAGCATGACAAGTGTTACAGAATCCAGCGACAGCAGTCAAGTGTGAAACACGAGCAGGGAAGCTCGTGTTGCCTCGTCTACCCCAAAAACCACCCGTCAGGGTAACGCGCTGTTTCTAAGTAGTGGTTGTATTTCAGAGCTTTAATTCTGTCCAAAGAGATAAAAACGACCACAAAATATCAGAAAACTGATGCAAAATAACTACAAAGAGGCTGAAAACAAGTAGCACGGAGGGATTAACCACGTGCTCAGTTTTAATGACACCCAGTGATTAAATCGGCTGTAAACAAATGCCAGTCATACCTCTGTGGAAAGCCTTTATCTTCATTTCCTTTATCTAAAGTGCTCGTCAGGAGCTCTCAGAGGAATTTTCATTCACTTTTTACACCCACAGTATAAAATAAATAAACGAGTGTTTATGGTGCTGTTGTTTTTGAGCGTTAAACATTGGGGATCTCATGCTGGGCCTTTGTGACATTTCCTGTGCAGCAGAGGAGCCTCTGATTACAGGAAGTCGCCTCTTACTGCGTTTGTAATCAGCTGATTGGAGGTGAACAGTCACCATCTGGACTCAATAAAAAGGTGTGTTCACTTTTTAAGGCTGCAGCAGCTTATATGTCCCCTAACGAAGGACGAGTTGCCATTTTTCCACCTGATTTACTTCCCAGATAAAGAATTCCCAGCCAAACGTTCAGTGGCTTCAGAAAGTGCCTTTTTATGCTGAGGTCAGTGCTCAAATAATCGTTAATAGAAAGTCCTTCTTCCCATTAATTATCTTAGACTTATGTGGGGATGCTTGAAAGGGTTTAGTTTGCTACTGAAGCTTTTTATTATGTCCGATCATTACTTGCACTGAAGTCTTTTGCCCTGTTTTCTAATGGCGCTCTAAAGTGAAAGATGCCACCTGCAGACACGGCGCTGTTAACAGATCAGCGACTCGCAGGTGAAAGGCTGACGGTGTGAGCAGCTGTAGCACAGATGTGCTGATGTTTAAACAGGCAGTAGCTGTGATGTCATCCCTGAAGCGAGCTGTAGCCTGCTGTAAGAGCTGCAGCGCGTCCTGTTTAGATGCTCCAGCAGCATTTCCTGCAGCTGCACGCTGGAGACCGGCCCTTTGTGTGTGCGTTATCTTCAGGATGCAGCTCTCTTCCTGCTGACTCTGTCTTCTGTAACAGACCTTCGGGGTGTTCGGTGGATGAATGCATGCCGTCCATCGAGGGTTGTTGTGAAACGTTGTGTCCCTCGACTCCTTCGGGGGTTTTCTATGTTTGTTCTAAAGCTTTGTCTTCTCAGCATTTGGGGGCAGGTGTGAACTCTATTTAGGATCTAAATTCAGACTCACAGCAGTGTTACACAACACAGCATTAATGTCCGATCACTTCACTGAAACCCTGAATAGTGAATAAAAATCTCCACGTGGATTTAACTGAGGAAATGGGTCAGATTAGCTCAAAGTCCTGCAGTGACTCATGTTTCAGCTGATTTTTTTTTTAGCAGTCATGTCAGGAGAAGACAGAAGCTGTTTGATAATGAAGAGCATGTCCACATGTTTAATGAAGTCAACTCAGTGTGGGCCCAAACAGCTGTGTAGCCTTTATAAAACACTTATGCTAATTATGGAAAAAAGGCACTTTGCATGGGAGCATAAAGATAAGGCTCCAGAGCAATGGATGAAGGTCATGTGGTCTAAGAAGAGAGGTCAACAAAGTGTTGCACCCATCATGCCTAGTGCCCACTGTGTGAGTCTGTGGGGATGTGTCGGGGTCTGGAGTCGCTCTGTTGGACACTTCAGGACATCGATGGCACAGCGTGCTCCAACTGAGAGCTCGAGCAGTCGTCAGGCTCAGAGTATGAAAGAGTGCAGAACTTTAAAGAGTCTGTGGGATGTGCTGCAGAAGACTGTTTGCAGCAGTCCAACTTTCCCATCATCCATACAAGATCTCTGGGTGGATCCTGCAGCACTGCA